ACACTAGCTTTCCTATACATTTGTTGTTTTTACTCTTTAGCTTAGACAAACAAGATGTACTCTATATAATTTCACCGCTATTTATAGTGTAGTGTCTATCACATCGAGAAGAAATATTATGATAGATTGTATTAATTCATAAAAATCTGTTTCTTTTCCATGAAAGAGGATCATATACCCTAACCAGACTCATATCAGGCTTGGGTATATAAATTAAACTTACTTTGACCAATTAAAAAGTGAACTGTTTTTACAAGTGTCAAATAATATCAGGAAAGGATATATAAATTAAACTTTCTAAGACCAATTCAAAGGTGAACTGTTTTTACAAGTGTCAAATAATATGTCATGGTCCCATGTTTTCTTTGTCTGTGATCATGAAAGCACATTTCAAAGCAAAGTCTTTAGCCCCAAGATAACTACAAGTTCAAGGCCAGCCTGTACAACTACTTACAAAAATACATACAAATACTGAACATGTCATATAATTAGGAATATATACACATGTACACGTAACAATGAAAAAAAAGAGTGAGGAAAGAAAGTATATATGGGAGGGATTAGAAGGAGAAAAGGGAAAATGATGTAATTATAGTTACCTCAAAGAATTTTTATCAATTAATAGCAAAGGATAATTAAAGTGCTTGTTCTATCGATTCTAAGGTCTCAGGTTTAATCCATAGTACCAAAACAAAGACTGGTTGGTTTATGTTTCCTTACCTGACACATTACAGACATGCTAAATGAGGGAGAAATTAACTTTATTGTTTTTTTTTGGGTTTTTTTGGTTTTTTTTTTTTTTTTTTTTTTTTTTTTTTTTTATTTCTTTTTTCTTTTTTGGTTTTGAGACAGGGTTTTTCTCTGTGACTTGGGAGGCTGTCCTGGAACTAGCTCTTGTAGACGAGGCTGGTCTCGAATTCACAGAGATCCACCTGCCTCTGCCTCCCAAGTGCTGGGATTAAAGGCGTGCACCACCACTGCCTGGCAACTTTATTGTTTTAAGCTGCTGGGATTTTGTATTTAGGTTACTTTACCATAGTTAATTTGTCTTAAACTGTACCATTAACATTAGCATCAATCCAAAATCTTGGGCCCTACCTGAAAGAGAAATTTAGGGAAGTGGGCTCAATTTCTGTTTGCAAAGCTAGATACAAACTGTGAAAAGGAATGGAATAACTCATCTTGACACCATGATAGTTTAACTGTCCTCCATAATCTCATAGGGAGTGGCACTATTTGGAGGTGTGGCATTGTTGAAGTAGGAGTGGTCTTTTGAGGGAAGCATGTCACTGGGGAGGGAAGATATGAGGTCTCATATATGCTCAAAGCACACCCAGTGAAACAGACCATTTCCTGTTGCCTGCATGCCACTATGCTCCCCTTCCATGACTATAATGGACTAAACTAATGAAATGTAAACTGCCACCTCACTCAATTAAATTATTTCCTTTATGAGTGGTCATGGTGTCTCTTCATAGCAACAGAAATCCTAACTAAGACATACTGGCAGAAACTCAACAACCCACCTTTCAAATTATCAAATAAACTGGCCAATACCTAAACTTTGGAATTTTCATTTATGATACATATTTTGATACTTAACTCTTCAACATTTACTTTTATTGAACAAAATAATTATATTAGCAGATACAATTCTGGTTCTCTCAACTAGCATCCTGGCAATTCTCAATTTAATGAGAATTAAACTATCAAACTTAATTACTATACAGTCTTACCTTTCTGCCAATTCCTCAATGAAAACTACTACTGAGTTTTTATCATTTTCAATTTCTTGAATGTGAGCATTATAATATTTTCCATTTGGTTCCAAGCAAACCTGAAAGATAGGAAGCAGTACTCATATATTAATTCATCTGGTCTTGACCACTGACAAATCTGTATTTAGCCAAACCATTTTTCTCCAAATGTCATTCAATGTCTACTTTCTTAAAGTATCTGAGATCGTGGCCTATCAACTTACATGTAATTATCACAAAGTTTGGAATTAAAATTTAACACAATATAAACAATGAAATCTTTTTTTAGCATTTTGTAAAGAAGTCTTCATCATTGCTTTTGATGTTGTATTGGGGATCCAATCAAGAGCCTTAGGCATATTGGCCAAGTATTCTATCATTGAACTATACCCTCAACCCTTGTTTTATTCAGACAAGGTCTTGGTATAGCTATAAAGCTCAGCCTAGCCTTGAATGTATGATTCTCCTTGCTAAGCTAGGATAACAGACAGGCATCAATATACCCAGGATGATCAACCCATGTTAATGATTAAAGGTATAATCACAGAGAAACAAATCATTATCCTTAAAAAACTAACCTGACACTTGTCCCCTAAATAGTAATGTCTTCCAGCATATTCCATGCAATCTGATTTTTGAAGTTCTATTAAGAAAAAAAGATGATTAAAACCCAATTTAATTGAATATTTTCTTACTGCACATTATTTAATTACCTAATTTACTTTAACACAGTGTATTTGATGATGATGTCAGTACAAGAAAGAAATGTCCCAAAGGGTCATTCTAACACCCTTGATGGGTTATCACTATGGCAAATTTATTAAACAGAACTGCCAGAATAGTTCTGCACTTTAAAGCAGTTAAGTTAGTTTTAGATTTGGTTTAACACAAAAGTTACAATTTGAAAGTAATACAAAGAAGTCTCATGCACATGTGTGCATGCATTTATTAGTATTTCTTTTACTTTTATACAAGGTCTTAATTTCATTCTAATTAACTATACTGAATTCACCAAAGTTCAAGGGGTTGAATGTGAGACATTAACCCTTGCAGGCCGTATGCTAAGGACGGGTTTGATGAAGTCAGTTACATAATCTAAAGAAAACAACAATCTACATTAAGAGTTATTTTTATAAATATGTTCTTTAAAGATCCAGACAGCTAATTTTAGAAATTGTGGGCCACAAAACTTTCAAAATTAATCAATTCTCCATGGGTAAATGCAGATGAAGCTACTTGTCTTTAAACACTCAAAATCTGTCCTCTAGACTTGGTGATGGTGGCACACAGTAGAGCCAAAAGATCTCTAAATTCACAGCCAGCCTGGTCCGCAAAACAGGGTCCAGGACAGTCAGACTACACAGAGAAACCTGTCTCAAAACAGGGAACAAAATTTGTTTTCCCACACTATGCACCGTAGCACCCAAGAGTATACACAGATATGTACACAAAAATAAATATAATTAATAAATGTATTGCATTCTTCTAAAAAATTTAATGAACACCAAGGTCTGAATTATGTAATTTTCATGTCTTAAAGCATCTCTCTAGCATTTAAAAATAGAGAATGGCATTAGTAGACAGTGCGGTTTTGTTGGAGGAAGTATGTCACTGTGGAGGCAGGTTTGAGGTCTCATATATGATCAAAGCATGCCTAGTGTGACAAATCTGTTGCCTGATGGATCAAGATGTATGTAACAGCTCCTTCTACAGCAAGCACCATGTCTGCCTGCATGTCGCCCTGCTCCCCACCATGAGGATAATGGACTAAAGCTCTGAACTGTAAGCAATTAAATGTTTTCTTTTATAAGAGTTACCGTGGTGTCGCTTCATAGCAATAAAAACCCTAAGTCAGTTTGATGAAAGCATGTCTTATAAAAACTAACTTACAATCCAATGTCCTCTAGCTATCGGGATTCTAAGGTATCCTGCTGATACTTTATTACCTTTTCTGCTGTCCAACCAAGCATCAAATTCTATATTGCGATATATTTCTGGATCCAGAGCTTTTAGTACCTTATAAGGAAAGAGCATCCTTGATGGATTTTCTGGAAACTGAAACAAAATAGTCATGGTATAAACTCGTCACCTTTAAAGTCATCCTTTTATAAAGAAGAAAGAATCAAGGTTATTCTTTTTAAAACTGTACATAATTCCACCTTTCCTTTGTTATTAAAACAAAAAGTTAGCACAAAAAATTACCAACTATTTAAAAACCATCGAGAGACTAAAAGGAGCAACACTAGTCTAAGATCAAGTAGGATTTACATACAGAAATATTTCTCCTATTTCTTCAAGAGATAATGGTTAATTATAGTCCACTGTTGATAAAAACGAAACAATATCATCAGAATATTGATTACAAAGTATGAAATTTTATTATTACTTTAATTTTAAAATAAAAGCTTGTAAAAATGCCTTACGTATTCAGAGCTAGTTTTGAAAACTGGCTTTTTGGAGCCCATTCCCTGTGGAGGGATACTCTCTCAGCCTAGATACAGGAGGGAGGGCCTCAGTCCTACCCCAAATGATGTGACAGACTTTGATGATTCCCCCATGGAAGACCTCAGGCTCCCTGAGGAGTAGATGGGGGAGGGATAGGGAGATGGTGGGGGAAGTGGTAGGATGGGAGGAAGAGGGAACTGGAATTGGTATATAAAATAAGATTGTTTTTAATTTAAATAAAAAATTTAATAAAAATTCTCACAAAATACATATCTTCCATTTTAGACAAGTAGGAGTTACACGAAGAAAAACAAAACTACTTCTTTCCTAGCTCTAAATAATTAGAATGAACTATCTGGTTTTAATTATTTTAAATTATGGTGCTCTAAGACAAGTGTATGAACATTCTCTGACTGAGAAAATATCAAACCTTTAATCCTTCTGCTGTTCCTTGCTTGCTGTCTTCTGGTGTACTTTTGACATTGGAAGAGGCACCACACTCAAAGATTCTAATTGAAAAAATTCAAAGAAAATAACATTATATAAATGCAGCAGTTACTTGTCTCATGTCTCACAACTATGCCATACCACCCAGTAGTAAGAAGCCCAGTTCTGAAAAAAATGAAGCAAGTAAGTTTTCAACACATCCTCATTAGGTTTCTGTGATAAGTATGTGTTTAAAAATACTTAGATTATTTCATATTAAGATGGTTCTGTGATCCTGACTCTTAATGTTCACAGCTTCTGATTCCTGGGTCATGAGACTACTTCTAATTATAGAGAATTTACATATATTACAAACGCACACACATACCCCACAGTACCCACCCATCTCAATTGCCTCTTTCCCTGCTTTCAGTAGGAAAGTAGTCATCCATGTTCACCAAACAAATACAACAAAAAACCCTAAAGCTATCATCCAACCAGCTAGAACAATTTAAATGCTACCAAGAACCTATTTCCCAAAGTTCCAGTTTAAGACCTCAGTCCTGGTCCTGGCCAGCACCTTTATTACAGTCTTACATCATCCTGAACAGAAGTATAAGCTAAGCCATGGCATGATTTCTAAACCACATGAACTATAATATCAAAGTGCTGTTTTAAGCTGTCAATTTTGTAGTAATGTTGCCTTTCAACTACTGTAGATTACATAAACCCAAACTCTTAAGAAATCAGCAAAAAATGGAAACAAGCTTCACTTTGACCAAACTATTTCCACTCCTCTGGCTCCCAAATAAGCTTTAAAAATATTCTTCTGATGGCTCAGTGGGTAAAGATACTGGCTGCTAGCCTTTGGTTTTTTGGGTTTTTGTTTTGTTTTTCGAGACAGGGTTTCACTGTATTAGCTTTGGCTGTCCCGGAACTTACTCTGTAGACCAGGCTGACCTCTAATTCACAGAGATCTATCTGCTTGACCCTGCCACCCGAG